AGGATCGCTTGAGCCCAGGAGTTTGAGGTTGCTGTGAGCTAGGCTGAAGCCATGGCACTCACTCTAGCCTGGGCAATAAAGCGAGACTCTGTCTCAAAAAAATAAAGAAGTAAAAATAGTTACAGAAATGACGGAACGTGGAATGGATCAGGGAGGCTTCAGTGTCACCTATGGTGTCCCTTATTCGAATGGCCCACGTTTCCGTGACGACGATAATGGCAGCTCCTGGCGCAGCGAGCTCACGCGGGGCTGAGCGTGGCTCTACGTCCTTCCGGGTGGTGGCGCCTTTCGCCCTCCGGCTCCCGAGGAGCTGCCCCCTCTTCACAGGTGAGCAGCCAGAGGACCGAGACGGCCCGAGCTTTGTGGGTGCACAGACCGTAAACCACGCGGATTCGCCCAGGAGCACGACATTTTGCTGACAAAAGGTGACGTTAGATGTTTCCATACCTGATGGCTCAGGTGCTGGGAGAAGCGGCTGCCCCGGCTCTCTGGAGAAGGCGGCGTCTGCGGACAAGCCTTGTCTTCGGGGGTGGGGGGCGTTTTCCCGCGGGTGGTGGGGCAGAGCACGTTGCCATACGTGTGGAAGCCCACAGGCCGGGCACAGTCCTGCGCGGTAGCCGCCGCCTCCCCAGCCTGCGGCTGTCGGCCACCAGCTGCAGCGGGACAAGCCTGAGGAGCGATTTGCACGATGTAGAGAGGGCCCCGCACAGAGTGTCACTGCGCCCTTAGCCAGGAGCGGCACAATGCCAAGTCCCAGCATCCATGCTCGTGTGTGCGTGCACGCGTGCGTGTGTGTGTGTGTGCAGGGTGTGTGGTGTGTGCATGTGGTGTGTGTGTGTCACGTGCGTGCACGCGTGTGTGTGTGTGTGTGCAGGGTGTGTGGTGTGTGCATGTGGTGTGTGTGTCACGTGCGTGCATGCGTGTGTGTGTGTGTGTGTGCAGGGTGTGTGGTGCGTGCATGTGGTGTGTGTGTCACGTGTGTGCACGGGTACGTGTGTGTGCAGGGTGTGTGGTGTGTGCATGTGGTGTGTGTGTCACGTGTGTGCACGCGTGCGTGCGTGTGCAGGGTGTGTGGTGCGTGCATGTGGTGTGTGTGTGTCACGTGCGTGCACACGTGCATGTGTGTGCAGGGTGTGTGGTGTGTGCATGTGGTGTGTGTCACGTGCGTGCACGCGTGCGTGTGTGTGCGTGCGTGCAGGGTGTGTGGTGTGTGCATGTGGTGTGTGCGTGTCATGTGTGTGCATGTGTGCGTGTCTGTGGTGTGCAGGGTGCATGGTGTGTGCATGTGGCGTGTGTGTGCGTACAGTGTGTGTGGCGGTAGCTCCTTTGTAAGGCAGTAAATGAGTTTTTTTCTCTCCAGCTTTAAAAATAAACAGATCTGGAGAGCGAGTGCGGCTAGAGATTGGTCAATACCGTATGCAAATAAATAAGTGCTAATTGCCTGCAGTGTCTGTGGGTGTCAGGTGCGGTTATTGGCCACATTTATGGGCCAATTAGGAGCCTTACCGGACTCTAGTGGTGATAGATTGTGGCTCGGTGGCTTCTCAGAACGTGCCGGAGACGGTGGGGCCGTGCGTCACTCTTCCCCACTCACGCGGTGTGGACGCCGGGCTTTTGTCCGTCCCCACGTGCTCGGGGCAGGGGTGGCTCGGGGCTGTGGGGGCCTGCAGGACCCGGGCTGGGGGACAGTCCGCACACGGCAAGTGGGACACAGGACCCGGGCTGCGGCTGAGTTTCCACCAAGGCGCTGGGGACACGGGCAAGGGCAGGACAAGCGAGTGCAGCCCTGCTGGGGACAGGCCGGCCGGCTGGGAGCTGGCAGGGTGCTCTCCTGCGCACTTGCTTCCTCCTCAGCCCTGGCACAGTTACGGTGGGGCTGGGTTTCCTGAAAAGCAGAGGGACCCAACGACAATGGCCGCTGCAACTGGACAGTCCACAGCCACATGCTCCAGGGAAGGCAAAGCCATCGAGGGGCCAGCGCTTGGTCTTTGTTCCTTCACCCATTTCCGAGGGGACTTTTGGGCCCTGTGCTCTGGGGGTGACTCAGACCCACGGCCTTGGAGCCCAGGGGAGGGGCAGAAGGGGTGAATGACCCCACCGGAAACACCTGACCAGCCGGGATGAGCACCTGCCGGTCAAATGCAAGAGCAGGGGGCCCGCCGGAGCCGGGGCTGGGGCCGGGGAAGCCTCTTTGAGGAAGGGACATGCCCTCAGAGCCCCCAGAGGCAAAAAGGAACCAGCCACAGAGAGTGGGGACTTCCCAGGTGGAGGAAAAGGTGAACAAACGGGGAGAGGCCGGGGGGTGGGAGTGTGGCTGGGGCAGGGAGGGGCGGGAGGGCACGCAGGCCACCTTTAGGGTCTTGGCCTGCGCTGTCAGAACAAAGGGGAGCTCCAGCAGGGGACAGCAGGGCCAGATCCCTGGGAGAAGGATCAGAGGAGTGGAGAGGAGGCCTGGGGGACCAGTGTGGGCCAGGGGAGAATGTTCTGGAACTGGCGGTCCCCTGGGGGGTTGGAGGGGCCAGGAGGGTGTGAGAGAAAAAATGGGGGGGGGCAGCCCTAGTCTTCTGGAAGATTCCCCGCTGTGTGTGTCCTGAGTCCAGGGTGGAGGTGTCAGTTTGAACTTTGATCCCTCAGATTCTGTAAGTTCCAGTTGGCTTACCTGAATGCCTCCTAATTTTTAATCAATTCGTTTCAGTATCAAATTAGTTAACCAATCGATTAACCAATCGTTTCTCCAATTTCAGTATAAGTGAACAGTATGTTAATAAAAAACCCGACCATGTTCTTCAAAGTCAATGGCAAACTGTGAGTTTCGACACATACCTCAATGTAACTTGTTTAAAAACGTTATTTATTTTAAAGACAGGGTCTCGCTGCATTGCTCAGGCTGGTCTCGAACTCGTGGCCTCAAGCAATCCTCCTGCCTTGGCCTCTCACAGTGCTAGGATTATAGACATGAGCCACTGAGCCCAGAAACATGACGTTTTAAAATACAGGTTGAGCATCCTTTATCCGAAATGCTTGGGACCAGAAGTGATTTGGATTTTTTTCAGATTTTGGAATATTTGCATATATACAATGAGATATCTTGAAGAAGGGACTCAAGTCTAAGCACAAAACTCATTTGTGGGCTGGGCGTGGTGGCTCACTCCTATAATCCTAGCACTCTGGGAGGCCAAGGCGGGTAGATCATTTGAGCTCAGGAGTTCGAGACCAGCCTGAGTAAGAGCAAGACCCCGTCTCTACTAAAAAATAGAAAGAAATTAGCTGGACAACTAAAAATATATAGAGAAAAAAATTAGCTGAGGAATGGTGACGCATGCCTGTAGTCCCAGCTCCTTGGGAGGCTGAGGCAGAAGGATCACCTGAGCCCAGGAGTGTGAGGTTGCTGTGAGCTAGGCTGATGCCACGGCACTGTAGCCTGGGCAACAGAGTGAGACTCTGTCTCAAACAACAACAAAAATCCTCATTTGTGTTTCACACATACCTTATATGCACAGCCTGAAGGTAATTTTATACACTATTTTTGTAATTTTGTGCCTGGAATAAGTTCTTTTTTTTTGAGACAGAGTCTCACTCTGTTGCCTGGGCTGGAGTGCCGTGCCGTCAGCCTAGCTCACAGCAACCTCCAATTCCTGGGCTCAGGAGATCCTCCTGCCTCAGCCTTCCTTTGACTGCAACCCGTCACATGAAATCAGGGTGGAATGTCCCACTTGTAGCACCATGTCAGTCCTCAAAAAGTTTTGGATTTTGCGGTATTTCAGATTTCGGACTAGGGATGCCCACCCTGTATAAAGAAGTATAAAGAAGGAAATTAAAACCCACCCAGAATTCCCCAAGACATCATTGCTAACATTTTGGACTTTTTTTCTGGATATAAAAATATCTTTATTTAATAGAGATCACTTATACACACATCTGTATCCTAAATTTTATTTACATAATTTCCCCATGTGATAAGTAGCTAAAGATCTTACTCTTTATAGATGTGCCATAATCAAATTAACTCTCCCCCGCTTGTTGGACTTTGAGCATATTTCCAATATTTTGTCATTATAAGCACCCCGTAGTCGTGAACACATCTGTGCAAATGTCAAAGTACTCACGTCATCCCTCGCCCAGATTGCTAGGCACTGCCTCCATTCATGGGGCCGGCAAACACCGAGTCCCTGCTGGGATGAAGGTGTGGTTTGGGCGCTGGACTCCCAGGCAGAGGGACGATTTTCAGAGCCTTTGCACACAACCCCCTGTGGCTTTGCAGAAATGCGGTTTTACTGTGTGCAGCCTGGCCAGGCCACAGTTCCACGGCGCCACATGCTGTGTTGGGACAGCCCCCAAGGCACTCTGTGGCGCGGTAGGCCTCCCACACCACGGGAAAATTTCAGGAGAAAGTGTCCATATGAACACGCCATCAGATCACGTGGCTGTACATGTACCAACGTGGAAGAGGAGGGGAAAGGACACCCTAGTGTCTTCCGAGAGAGGCGTCCGAAAGGCATGTGCACCGAATCGCTGGCTAGGTCAGGCCTGGGTGGTGGCATTTTGGGCGAGTTTTGCCTTCTTTATGCTTTTCTGATTTGGGGGGAGTAAAATACTGTATTTCGCAGTATGTAAAGATTACAATCACACTGATGATGGCACTAGCAGTATTAACAATGGAGTCCTAGAGTGGCTTTCTTCCCTGGCCACCTGCCACGTGTGGGTGGTGCAAAGGTACTCGGGCGCATCTGGGAGGTCTGGGCCCAGTCGGCCCTGGCTGGGGAGAGAACAACCTCTTGGAGGTTCTGCCCTGTGAGTGAAGAATCAGAAGGGACGCTCCTTGCCACCTCCCCGTTCCGAGACTGCAGCTGGGGGCCAGCTCCCCGGCCCTCCCGCGAGCAGCCGAAGCCCCTTTTCTCTGATTTACCCTGCCTGGGAATTGAAACCCAATTAATTGTGACAAATGACCGGCACCACCAGAAAAAAAACAACAACAAAAAAACAACTCCACGACAGCAGCATACACATATTTTCATTTCTTTATTAGAAAGAGGTCTCTACACTCTCGCCACCTCTCTCTGTTACTTTACACATTTTTCTTTTTCCCTTAGAATACTGTACAGCTGACACAAAAAAATCATCCCCAGGCAGGAAATACAAACTGGCATACTGGATCCAAAACAAGATCATATGAAATAACAAGCAAAGTGAAATGTCTGTCAATGGTTTTAATTACAGTACAAACAATATAAATAAAGCGTCATTGAGTCATTGTGAAACACAGAGTTGCTGAATGAGGTAATAGAAAAAAACAAAAAAAACCCCAAACAAACAAAAAGCCAGAAACCGTCTCTGCATAAGCCCCCGCCGATCCTCTGTCTTCTATACATCGCTATTTACAGAAACAGAAACCGCCTTCCCGGCCTTCCTGCCCCACCTGGAACTGCGTCTCAGCCGTCACCTTTGACCTGTCCGGCCCCCTTTTTGGAAACACACCCCACGGCACGAGGAGGCCCCAGCTCAGAGCTGGTGGGAGGGAGAGCTGCCCCTGGAGACCCCATGCGACCGACCCTCCCCTCCCCAGGACCTCAGGCTGGGAGGGACCTGCAACCTCAAGAACTGGATGTAATTCAGCCGCCTAAATTTGGTTGAAAGGGAAAAACTGTGATGCTGTTCAAGCGTGTGAGAAGGAATTACTTCTGACGTGACGGTGCTGGTCTTTGTCCCCCTTAATGCCATGAGGCAGCTTCTCAACGCTCCTTTCGCCTGCCCACCTCCCAACAGCCCTGACCCCACTCCTGTCACCTGTGTTACCTTCAGACCAGTGTGGTGGGAAAACTGGGGACCCCTGGTGGGAGGGGGTGCCCTATACGCTTGCATGAGCAGCATATGGGAGCCAACCCCCAGATTGGCCTCGGCTCACCACACCCTCGGGCCCTTCTTTGTCGCCGGCCCTGAAAAACCCAGGCAAGATGACGTCTTCGCCATCCCAGGAGAGCTGAGTGCAGGGCCTTGGCTGGGCTGCCCTGCTGGCGTCCCTGCCCGAGGCCTCTCAAGAGTCTACCTGCAATGTCCTTACTCAAGCCTTCCGTGCTCAGGACCAGCCACTGCCTGAGTCGGCACCCCGGGTCTGCTTTTGACAACAGTTCTTGAACCTGCGCTGACGTTAGCTTTCTGGGCCAGTGTGGACACCGGCCAGCACCAGGGAGCAGGGGGCCTAGTCTGCTTTAGGGTAAGCTGATCCCAGCAGCTGCTGCATGAAGGGGTTTGTTCATCTAGAAGATTCCCCAATGCCTTCATACCTTGTTTGGTTCTTTTTTTACACCTGCGTGGCAGGACAGAGGCCCCGCACTTCCCCACGCTGAATGCTGGATGGCTCCTAGCCGGGCAGGTCTGTACTGACCCACAGGGGTGCCTGCGCCAGGCCAAAATAAAAAAGGAGCCTGAGCTGACCTCTCTCACACTCACCAAGGCATCGTGCCTTGGCCCCGTCCGGTGGGTGCCCAGCACTGGACGCCAGAGCTGTCCGTTCCAATCTCCTGGGCAGCCTCTGGCCTGAGCCCTGGAGCCTTCGGAACTGCTGCAGGTCTTTGCTAAATGGACCCGCCTACCTCCAGGCCCAGAGGCCGGCCTGTAGGGAGTGAGGGCCTCGCCCAAGAAGAGTCCCACCAAACAGGTGCGGCCCCCAAACCAAGCACTGTCATTTTGTAGCAAAATCAGCACCTTGTGGTACCAGGCGATAAGGACAGGTTTTCAAGTGTGTATGTGCTGTACCGCTGCTTTGGGGCAGGTATTTATTACACTGGTGAAACTTAAATACTTCTAAAACCTGGCCTTTCAAAAAAAAAAAAAATCACAGAAAAAACACTTGTTGGTTTTACAGAATCCCTTCCCAGAATCATCTACTGATGGAATGTCCTCTAATTTCAACTCTGACATAGGATGCAAACCCATGCTTAAAAAGCAGCAGACATATGAGTTAAACAAGGGATCCATTCACATTAAAAAAAAAAAAAATCTATGTAAGGACAGTATTTCTTCTCTAAGGGGAAAAAAATATTTTTGTTTGGAAATACCAATGTCTAAGTTGCTAAATGTTAATTTTTTTCCCCTCCAGAAATGAGAGATAAGGAGTCTGACCCGGGTGCTCACTATTCTTCCAATCAAAGATGTCACAGCATCTCGGGGGCCAGCGATGACTTCCTGGAGGTGATGGAAACAAGTCTGTTTCTTAGTGACCCGTCTACTCCAGGTGGATACACTTGCTCCCCTTCTCTCTTCTGCAGAACTGGAAGAAATCTGACATTTTGGCTGGCAGGCAACCTGACTCAGATGCTTGCAGGACAAAGGCCGTTGTCGTCTGGGGTACAGAGCCAGGCAGGGGTGGACTGGGCCTGGGCGGGGCCTGGCTGGGGCGGGGGACAGGTTAGAGACGCATGCTCCCGGGGCTTCCTGGAGAAAGCCACTTAGGAATCCAAAAAGGGACACAGAAAGTGAGAGATGCAAGTCTGGATGCCAAACGCCCTTGTGTAGCATTCTGGTGAAGGATGAGGGTGAAAATCACTCGAGACGAGACTTCACAACACGTGAAACCCAAGTCGGAAGAGGCAGCTGGAAATAAATTATTATTTTCCTTTGAAGGAAAGATGTGAGTCTCCAGCACTTTTCTGTCTGAATTCCTTCCTGACTGCTTTTCAATTTGTTTGCTTGAAGGCCATAAATACAACCCCGGGGAGTTCTAGAACAGTCTCAGCGACCTTGTGGGAGGGGTGGGGGGCGGGAGAGAAAAGGAGCCTTGGGCGGGGGAGGGGAGCAGCCCTGCAGGAGGTGTGCGAGTCCTTTCCAAGTATCTGTGCCTCCCGAGTAGTTGTTAGACCTGATCATCCTCCCTGTTGCCTGGTTGCTGCAGGTTCTCCCCTTTCCTTTCCTTTCTAGAATGTCCCAAATGCAGGGTTGGCAGACCGGGTGCCACAGGGAACCCTGGCACCTACCTATGGGCACAGCTCAGGCTGGGGGAAGACAAGTTCCCCACGTTCAGGCGTGAGATGCGCTGGATGGCAGGGCCGGAGCCCAACAAGGAAGACAGCGAGGGACACTCGGTGTCCAGTCGCACGAGCTCAGGGAGCCGGGGAGAGAGGCCAGAGAGCCTAAAGCCACATTTGGCCACCCAGGGTGCTCCCCAGCAAGGTCTGATGGCTAAAAGGAGGAGAGAAAGCACAGGGAGGTGAGGCCCCGTACATGCACGCGTCGCAGCGGCCCTCGATGATGGGGGTGGTGGTGGGGCTTGGCCAAGCCAGCACCATGTAGGACAGAGACAGGGTCAGCCTGGGCCTTAGCTAACACCACTGGCACGAGGGCAGAGTCCAAGCCCTTCTTGCCTTTGGAAAACCACACTCAGGCTAAATGAAAGGAGGACACGCGTGTGAAGCAAGGGCTGACGACACGGTGAGCGAGCAGGTTTGAGAGGGGCTCTTGGGATCAGGGGCCCCAGGGAGGCTCGTCCCTCCTCTGACCCTGCGCCCGGCACGCAGGGGCTGGGGAAGGGCAGCAGCGGCTCAGCAGAGAGAGGAGGCTACGGGCTACAAAGGGGGGGGGGCGGCTGGCAAATGTGCCCATCACTGCCTCCCCAGGACGCTGGCTCCAGTACGTGGTGTCGGCTAGGGGACAGGTTTGCAGGCGTGTGCTCTGGCTTCGGTCCTACCCGGGTCTCTGTTCTTGTTAAACGCTCCCATTTCCTGAGCCTCTGTCCCTGGCCAGGCGTTAGGCTGGCGTTCATCACACTGGTCCCAAACCTCGCCGCACCCTGCAAGCTTCACAGATGAGGAAAGCAAGAGTCCAGGGAGCCGGACGCCCGCCCGGGGCTGCGCCGGCACCCTCTGGGGGACGGCAGAGCCAGGGGAGCTCAGGGCTGCCAGCGCCCAGGGCTGTCTTTCCCGCTGGGTCGTGTTTCTCCCTCGTGAAGTCAGCAACGGCTCCTACGCAGACCCAGGAAACGACCCCAACTGTGCGAGGGTGTCACAAAACTAGCAAGGCTGGTGCCTACACTGGAGGGCCGAGGCTGGATCCAAACAGACCTCATTAGGCTGGGAAAAATCTCAGAAGAGGGAGCTTCAGCGCAAGATGCTGTGCTGGAAAGCCACAGCCCGGAACTGGCTGGCAGACCCGCAGCCCTGCAGAGCACGTAATTCAGTAAAACCACCCTCCCCTCTGTGTCTCTTAACCCCGTCACCAACGGGCACCCACTGCCTTCACCTCTATTTCCGGGGTGCACAAACATGGCGAGTACATCTTGGGAGATACAACATTGCATCTGGTTTCGGGACCAATGACTCATGAACTCGTCACTCACAAACCTTCAGCTGCTCTGGGGCGGCCAAGAGTGACCGGGGCTCAGGACTGGGGTGTTGGGCTCAGGAGCCCCCCTGCCCTCTCCAGTACTGGAGGGCTGCCCGGGCGTGGGCAGGACCCCAGCACCCTTCCCTGCAGGGTCTCCTCGGCCACTAGCGAAATCGGCTGGCTCTGCGACACACACCCGCGCCTCAGTAACCACGACGCCGGACATGGGGATGAGGGGGTGTCCAGACCACCCACGTGGCTACCGGGGGTACAACAGCCTGCACCTGGGCTACCCCAGCTCGCTGCATTCTGAACAGAAAAGGGCATGCGGATTCTGCAGTGGCGACCTCTCCTGTCCTCGTCATTTCACAGAACAATCAACAATGCAACTCAACCCCCTTCCCAAACCGGTTCTCTCTAACACTGCTCTTGGGCCTTGCTTCTCCCCGCCTGGGCGTCAGTTAGCTTGAAAATGGGAATGACAGCGCTGTTAGCAAAGGAAGGATTCCTGGTTTGACGCGGAAACACGAACAGATTAGCCACCAGTTTTATTTGGAAAGAAAACCCTTGAAACCCCACTACCGCCTTTCCTGCTGCTGTCAAAACTTGGGCTCAATCAAGAAAGTGGGGTCTGTCTTGGAGCAGATCAACGTGGCCGGAAATGGTCGGGGAGGGGCTGTTTCCTAAGGAGGAGTCAAGGACATCCCCATGCTGGAGGCAGGGAAGGGGGGAACCAATCTAGCATTCAGGTTGTGGAAGGCGAATGGAAACAAGAAGTCATCTGGGAAAATATTATATTATAAACACATAGAATAATATGTACACACTCATATACATCCCAAAGAGAAGCCTTACAAGGAATTCCGTTTCTTTTCAAAAGAAGGCTTCACTATGATAAAGCATTCCTATAGTGGGAATTAACTACAATGAAATAATTTAAGAATTTCATTTATACTCTATCTGTGTTCACTACAGAAAGTCTACGGTCAAGGCTGTGAGGGGCTGAATGTGCATGGCTGGATGAGAGCACTAATGCGTTCTTCAAAAATAGGCAATGACTTTTATTTTTCTCTATTCACATTTAAAATAACTACACAGTGATGAAACGCAGAATTAAAACTCGGATGGATGGGCTATGGGACTGTCGTCACGGTTCTCAGACTTGTGGCTTCTGCAACTTGTGTTTTTGGGTTCTGGTGACTTCCACTGAGCTTACTTAAGACTAGAAATTTCCATGAAACACTTACCCACATATAAAGTCTGTGCAAAGCTTTATTTCTTTCCCCACCTACTTTGATTTTTTTTTTTTTTTTTAAAAAGTGAAAGAAGAGGAAAAACTCTTACAAAATATAAGGTTTACTATACGAGAGCAAAGAACTCGCCGGCGGCTGCCGCGTAATGTGCCTTTGTCTTTCTGTGCTACGGCAGGCCGGTGTCCTCGGTCTTCCATCGCGACAACCCTTCCTCCCCATCACCCTGCCAGAGGCAAAGCCGCCCCCTCCGTTGCTTTCGAACCTCAGGGATGCCAGCATCTGGTTTATTGCGTCTGACCGCCACAGTGAAGGTGGCTGACGACACCATGACAACGGCACATCAGGTGAGGTGCTGGCCCGCGGGGCCTGGCTGCTAAGTCCAGCTGGTGTGGGATCTCAGCAGCCAGCAGGTGCCTCAGAACAACCCGCAGCTGCCTCTGAAAAGGGTCCCGCATTCGGAAAATCACTCCGTCTTGCCAGAGCCCCTCGGTCTTGGTTAGCAAAAGTAGTGTCGGAATTAAATCATGCTTTCAATCACGAGAAATCACATGCCTCTTCCCCACCCCCCCATTCTAATATGCGCCAGGGTCTTTTTCTCCCCCCCTTCTCAATTTTAATAAGCAAATCGTACCACCATCTTATTCTGATATGTTCCTTTTTAAAAGCTGTATATCACGTTAATGGAAGTGTTTACTGCTGGGAATATTTTCCATGTACAACGATCTGTAACCCTCTTATCTCAACTAGTTGCACATTATTAGTTCACATCCAGTTCAATTTATAAATTAACAGAGGTGCCATTTGTCTGTACAAAAATCAATGCATATTTATGAACTTCTTTTATTCAAATAGATTTTCACACATCTTATCTAAAGACACAATACAGAAGCCTGTGTGACTTGGCCAACGTGGCCCGGGAGTGGCTGAGACCCAACACATCCACCTTGGCAAAAGGACATAAAATATCTCTTACGTTCGGAAAAAATAGCCTTCTACGTGTTTACTCGGTTTACCAAATGCACTCAAAATGCTGTCATTAGCCGAATTTGCGATTTCCTTTTGAATTTCTGAGTTATTCTTATTTATTTTTTCCATTTTGTTTTTGCACCAAGGAGACTGCAGTCAAATAATACTCAGCAACTGATTTCCTCTCTTTGGACTGAAAAATTAAACAGATACTAAATTATGACAGTGAATTTAGAAAGGAGGGCTCCAAGGGCTTGAAAGAACATGTCTGGGATAATATGATGCTTCTAAGAGTATTGCAATCACATCGTGGCAATCACCGGAGCGTGCCGCGTAACTACCTCCTCGGCTAATATGCTTTCTTCTCGGTGATGACTAATCATGTTCTATTAAACAGCGGTAATGCTGGAAGAACTCAACTATACAAGTGTAATGAAGCCAGTATTCTCCCTGGACAGATTAGCTACAACTGATTTGACACATACCATCATAGGGGCTTCAGACCTGACAAACTCTGTGCTTGCCTCTGATTTATGCCGTCAAGCTCCTCGGAGAAGAGATGAAATCCAAGTGTTCTGTTTGGTAGAGGTGAAATGTACTGATGTGCTTAACTGCCAGTTAAGGAAAGTTGCCCCTTCTCCTTGTTCCTCGCCTCCCCTCCCCCTCGAGCCCCCGTCCCTGGTGCCACCAGGACAAGGGCCCCGCACCGTGTGCTATCATCAAAGAACCAAGGCCCCGTCGCTCTCTCCTGTTTGCTGTTTGTGGGGGGAGTGTGTGAAAAGGGATCGATTCTGCAGCCTCCCGGCCTCCTCTTCGCCCTCTGAGGACGTCCAGGCTTTGTGATTTCGTTCTGGGTGAGAGTGGGCGGGCGGGCGGGCGGGAGGTGACCACCAGGAACGGCGAGGGGACGCGGCGGGACTCACGTGCTGCGACTCCGCGTGCGCGGCGGCGGGGCTGCCGCGTCCCGGGCGTGGCGGGGCGGTGGGTGGGCACGGCCGCTCCTCAGATGACGGTGGGCACCCTCCCGCTGCTGTTGTTCCGGTTATTGTTCTTCCTGGACAGGTTGGGCGTGGCCATGAGCACGAAGCGCTCGTCGGGGCAGCCGTACTGCAGCAGGACGTCGATGCACTCCTGGCTGGAGGCCTGCCGGGCGTAGGCCAGCGCCGTGTTGCCGTGGGCGTCGCGGGCCATGACGTCCACCCCGTACTGCGGAGGCAACAGAGCTCGGGTTAGCATCCTGGGGTCTGACGCAGGGAGGCGCACCTGCACCTGGCGGCCTGTGCCCCGACACGGACTGCCTGGGGCCGGCTACGGCAGGACCGGGTGGGGACCCAGGGCCATCTGGGGCTGGAGGCACAGCCCGGCTCCCCGCCAGGGCATTCTTTTAAGGGCAGAATACGCTTTTCTCAACTAAAACCCCTCCTTTGTGCAATATCAAGGAATCAGGGATAACTTTATTTTTGCCATTTATATGTTGACTTCCCAGTTGTAAAAATAAAAAATCACTTTTTTTAAAATCTCAGAGGCAACTCATTGTATCGTAGAGAGTACTTAAGTAATGCGTAAGAGCATAACAGGAAAAAATCACCTACAATGTTGCCATTCTGAGATAACCTTTGTTAATATTTTAGTGTGTTTTCTTTTAATGGGTTTTCTCTGAATCTAAATGTATGTGTGCATAATTGAGATAAAACCATACAAGTCATTTTAACCTCTCTCTCTTTTTTTTTTTTGCTGAACACTGTGCTGTGATCATTTCCTTACATCATTAAAAATGACTCAAAAGCATGACATATAATAGCGATCTAGTATTAGATCTAGTATTAGACATAGCCCAGTCACTCTGTCCTCAAAGGCCGCACGTTTAGCCCAAAAGTTGTCATTGGTAGAAACTAGTGCGCCGATATGTATCCTCACATCAAACCTTTCTCAGGATCTCTGATCGTCAGAGAGATGATTAGGAGGAGGAAGCACTCGGTTAAAGTGCACAACGTTTTTAAGTTTCTCGCTCATGGGAAAAGGGTGGGCCTACCTCCACTTCCGCTGGCTCTGCCCGTAAGGGAGCCTGAGCGCTCGCTCCACAGCCCCGAGCCCTCGAAGGGGCTCTCCGCCAATGTGATGAGCAAGGACGGCCAGGGACTGGTCACAGGCAGAACCGTGCCCGCGGCCCCATTCCCACGGGGAAGCCCCGCACCCACCCGGCACTCTAGAATGCGATTATGTTTGGCGATGGGGCCTTTAATGGTTGTAGATAAGGTCAAACGAGGTCGTAAGGGCGAGGCCCCATCCTGCAGGGCTGGCGTCCATGTGAGAGGAGGAAGAGGCACGGGAGCGAGTGCAGAGGGGAGGCGGGAAGGGCCGTGTGAGGACACAGGGCACAGAGAGGCGCCATCTCCATGACGCCAACCCTGCTGGTACCTTGACCTTGAACTCCCGGCCCCCAGAAACCGGGAGAAAATAAAAGGCCTGCTGTTGAAGCCACCTGGCGTGTGGCATGCTGCTACGGGCAGGCCGGGCAAACCAAACGCGGCCGTCGAGCGATCAGTGTCGCACGCACCATGTGCATCACGCACGCCCGCGCGGGCCACGTACCCAGATCAGCAGCTGCGCCAGGACCACGTTCCCCTTGCGGCAGGCCAGGTGCAGCGCCGTGCGGCCGTCGCCCTCCCCGCAGGTCTCGTTCACCTCGTCCCGGGAGCCGTGCGCCAGCAGCAGGATGACCGTCCGCAGGTCCTCATCGGCGGTGGCCCGCAGCAGGTGCTGGCCCAGGGACAGCTCCGTGCACGGCAGCGGGGCCAGGAAGAGCTTCTGCTCGTACTTGGCCCGGATCCACCGCTCCTTCTCTTCCCTGCAAGAGCCACCAGACAGGTGCGGTCACAATGGGCGGGGCAAGCCGGGCCACAGCCCCTGCTGCGGGGCCAGGAGGCACTGGGGGGGGGTTGTAACTGGAGATAAGTGTCTTTGCCAGCACGGGAGCCCCCAGGGGTGCGGCTGATCCGTGCTCAGAAAGCAGTATCGTCACCGCCCCGCCAGCACTGGGAACGTACCAGAAATGCGGATTCTCCACCCCCCAGGCCTTCGCCCCAAATCAGAACCTGGGGGGGGGGTGTTTTAAAAAAGCCCTGCAGGCTGGAGTGGTGGCTCTTGTTTGTCTACAATTCCAACACTCTGGAAGGCCGAGGCGGGAGGATTGCTTTGAGCTCAGGAGTTCAAGACCAGCTTGAGCAAGAGCGGGACCCCATGTCTCTTTTAAAAAACAGAAAAGTTAGCCTGGTGTCCTGACACACGCTTGTAGTCCCAGTACTCGGGAGGCTGAGGCAGGAGGATCGCTTGAGCCCAGGAGGTTGAGGTTGCAGTGAACTATGATGACATCACTACATTCTACCTGGGACGACAGAGAGAGACTCTGTGTCAAAAAATAAAATAAAAATAAAAAAGCCCTGCAGAGGTTTCCGATACCCAAGGTGGGAGAACCACTGATCTAAGGCTCACAGCCTCGGAGCTCCCGATTGCTTTTGCTTCCAGTGCAGGAGCTGTGGCCTTGGGTCAGTGGCTCTCACGCCTCGAGACGCATCGGAGAGGCAGGGTGCAAGGACAGCCTCCATAGGCCAAGAGCTCAGTTCTACTGCAAGCAAGAGACACTGTGAGTCAGGGTTAAAGGACACTCGCCTAGACTCTGGGGGCAGGACAGTCCAGGGCTCCCCCACCTGGGGGTGACATGTGCTCTTAGCTCATCCTCCGGGAATGGGAGGGTGTGCGATCTCCCCGGGGTCTCCGGACACTTTCAGTTGAAGAAAACACGGCCAAAGACCCACCCTGGGAAGGGCAGAGACTCCAACGGGGAGGTTTAGAAAAGAGACACAAGCTAAGCTCAGTCACTGCGTGCACCTCTGCAACCTCTCAGGATACCCGGGAAAGGCTTAAGTGCAGGTGGCAGGATGTCAGGGAGCCCTCCAATGACAATGAACAGCAGGTTCTCAGAGGGGAATTGTTCCAGGTGGGCCCCCTGAGGCCGTGGATGAGCAGGGGCACAGAAGAGAGGATAAGGCTGGGGACGGGGCGGAGGGGGAGGGGTGCTGGGGGTATCTCCCCCCCATGACCCGGCTGGGACTGAGCACGCACAGCTCAGTGGGTGTGATGACCGCTCCACCCCCGGGGGTCTAAAGAGGGCAGGGACCCTGCCTATGACATCTGGAGGGGGGCCAAGGAGGAAGGGGGAAGGAAGCGTGTTCAGGTTGACCCGGAGCAGGGACCCAGGGCAAGTTGCTCCCAGACTCTGTGGCTGCTCGTGACGGCTTCTGGCTTTTGTTTCTCAAAAAAGGGTGCGAGAAGCACTGAAAGCTCGGCGCTCCCCAAGACTCGGCAGCACCACTCAGAGAAAGTGTGGGGGAGAGGGGGGGCGGTGGGGGGGCAAGAAATTTAAAAAGAACAACGTGAGATTTCACAAGGAGCTCTTGAAATTTTGCAGGCGGCCAGGGAGCTGAGCCGGCAGGGTGTGCTCCTCGGCCCACCGTGCGAGAAGGGGCTGTGATTACCCACAGAGGCTGAAATCACACACTGATTCTCAATTGCCCTCTCCTAAAATCCAGAAGTTTCTCCGGGGGCGTAATCAGAGTACACATAGCTACAAACTTTCTTGGAGAGATCACTCAGGGCTTCCACGGAAAGTCTAGAAAGAAAACTCATTACCCGTGACATTTTTGCTTCCGAGGCACAGAGTAAAAGCGTTGTGTACACCTTTTACCAGTGTTTACACTGCTCCCGGTGATCTAGTGTCGGGTTAGCCCTAATCTGTTTTTAAATACTTAGGCAAACAGATTCTTCCAGGAGTAAATCTGCATTAGCTTTGCTTCACTTCCTGGTACATGCGAGTGACCCCAGAGTGACCCCTGACTCTTTTCATTCGGAGACTTCCAGGACAAACACTGGGCTACAGTGGGGGACTGACACCCACAAACCCACAAACACAGCGGTGGGCAGCCCTCCCACCCCACTTGGGCAAAAACACGTGCACCCAAGTGCTGGTGATGCCTGGGAAATACCAGGTAAGGAGAAAGACAAAAAAAAAAAAAAAAAAAAAAAGAAAAGGAAAAAGCCAAAAAGTGGTTTTGAGGATATTTTTAAAGCCTTATGGAAAATGTATTAAATGTTTGTTATGCGTCCCATAAATCACAGGAGAGAAAGAGCAAAACATGAATTAAATGAAAAGGGCTGGTAGTGAAGGGTATGTCCAGATTTCCAAGTTCCGATTAGCTAACTCTCATTTTTTTGGCAGGCATTAAAATCACAACTGTTTTATTCTGCTCCGATTGATTTTAATAGCCATTGCTAAATCATCCAGGGATAAACCCGAGAATTTACATAGTAACTACAGTCCTAACTGCAATTATTCAATTTTCTTTTTATTATTCAAATACTCCGGCCAAAGAATGAGTACGGACCCACAGCTCTTGCACCCTTTCCTGTCACCCTCGTGTGCTCCGTCCGGGGACTCTGTCCGGGTCTGGTCATCCCAGGGCAAGCTCATCGGAAGGGACTCAAACCAACACATGTCTGAAGGAGCCGTTCTTTGCTTTTAGAAATCAGTGCTGCTTATAATACATAATAAAGGTGGGTCCAGGTTTTGTGGAGCTGAAAATGCGTACTATTTTGGGAGCCTTCTTTAAGAGGGAGATTCAAATATTATGTACATGAGATTAAAAAGAGGGCCCAAGGCGGGACAATGAGAGGGGCCCAGGCCCCGGCTTCCTTAGCCTGGTGGCTCCCGGTCAGAGAAGGAACAGATTGTCCACACGGGCTGAAAACCCGAGTCTATGACTCAGTTACAGAAACAGGCTTGAATCGATAACTATTACCCCACAATTCTGCGGGGACAGGGGACAAGGGCCGAGTCCCCAGGCAGGCTTCCTGGCGGGGCCTCCCCGGCCCCATATCCAGGTGACCCCTCACGTTTCCCCAAAGACACCCCCAGGTCTGTACCTGTGGTCTTTATCACCTGGCAGAAGAACCAGGCTCTTCACTCAAACTCCGCGTGCTACTTAAAAGCGGAGCTCTCAACGCGACTCCTGGGTCCTTTGGGGCTGCAATATTCCAGCGTTTTCAGACACCAGGACGTGGCCGGAAAGCTCCGGGCGGCCCCTGGGCTTCGTGTCTGTATCAGAAGTGGCCCTTCTTAGCAGCTGAAATCCAGCTAGTATGAAAACAGGACTCAGACATGGGCACTGAATTTTGGGGGTGCTAATTCAGCAACCCCATCATTCCATGTTCAACCACTTACCATGACCTGGAGCCCGTCTCCTGCGGCTGCTGCCCCCCCTGACAAATGGGGCGGGGGAGGGGGAGGTTAGCTCTGTGCACTTTCTGCAGGGGCCAGAGGGAGGGAAATACACTCTCCCATGGATGCCGGGCTAAAGGCTGCAGTGTTCAGCGTTAGAGAGATTGGGGTGTATGTGTCTGCTTTTTCCTCCTTGGTGGTGGACTTTCACTCATTTTTTTTTCCAGAGACAGAGTCTCGCTCTGTCACCCAGGCAGGAGAGCAGTGGTGTAGTCCTAGCCCACGGCAGCCTTCAATTGTCAAGCAAGCCTCCCATCTCAGCCTCCCAAGCAGCTGGGACTACAGGCGTGCGCCACCACACCCAGCTGACTTCACCTTTCTAATAACTTCTTGGACCACCCCCCCCCATCTGTGAAATGGGTACAGCAACATCCACACCAGCCAGGGCTGTGTTGGGATTTGAGACCGCACACACACGAGGACATGGCGCGAAGCCACCAAATGCCAGCCAGGAAGGAGGCCTCCCCAGAAACCAACCCTGCGGGAACCTTAATCTTGAACTCCAGCCTCCAGATCTGTGAGAAATCAACTTCCCTGACTCACGACATGCGACACTTGGCGGCGGCAGCCGAGCCGACTTGACACCCAGGACAGCCGCTTCCTTCCTCGTTCCCCTCTGGCTTCTGCACACACAGGTACCGCGCGACAGAGGGACACCCCAGCAGCGGGTTATTTTCCACGAGAACACCCCGTCTAAGGCCGTTCGCCCTAAAGCAACCCTGACCCCGAAGCGCCGACCCTGGGACTGTCACCGTGGTGTCCCGGTTTCGCTCCCGGGGCCCCGGCCTGTGCTGGCCGGGGCGTTCGTTTCCCCAAGGAAGGCCAGTTCAAGAGCAGGGAGCCGGCAGTAGATCACCTCACCTCATTCCAATCCCCTGGAGGACCACTGTTCACAGCCTCTGTTAGCTAATGAGCTAAAAAATGAATTATTGGCCCAGCCTGCCGTCAGCAGAAAGGAGGGGGCCGCTCCCCACCCGATTCGGTGCTGACACACCTTTGAATAAATCAGCTGCAGGAGAGTGAGGGAAAACCAGGGACGGGCAGCTAATCAGAAGAAAGACTTGGGCCCAATCCCCCCAAATAAAAAGAAGAGATGCATCCAAAGGTGCCACAGTAAATTCTTTTTCCTCTTCCTGCCCCAAATGAAACCCCTTATGTAGGGCGGCCTCCCCCCGCCCCCCCGGGGGCCTCAGCAGGGAACCACCTGGTGCAGGCACGGGGCCATCCCGGGGCTGAGCACCAGACTTGGGGTCCGACAACGGGGGGTGGGGGCAGGGCACAGGGGCTGGGAGTCCCTGAGTTTTCCGGGGTCCTCTGGGCTTGGAGACAGACCTGCTGGGCTGGGCCACGGCTGACCCTTGTAAGGGCTGACACCGTGGCCAAGGTGGGCTCTGTGCGCCCACCCCAAAGACCGTCCCCTTGGGCACACCCCGTGTCTGACACCTGCAGATTTAGTGCTGGCCAACTGCAGGCGCCAGGAAATACAGAGGGGCCAGCCGACAGGGTGCAGTCTC